TATCAGCGCCGTCATAAAGATGCATTTTCTTGCCAGTTTATAGGTCTGGAGTCTTCATCTGATGCATTACACATCTTTAGAAATTAATATGTTCTATCATTTTGTTTGTTTCAAATCAGACTGTGACAGGCGACACCATAGTCTCCTCCAAAGCCTCTGCTGCAGCTGCGGTGCGGCGGGCTCAGAATGAAGCAGAGAGCAAGAGTAGCTCACAAAGGGAGAGCAGCAGTCTGGCTCTTGCAGGGGTGGAGGTCCCTGAGCCTGTGTTCTTCTGCTCCATTGAACCTCCTACTCTGGCCAAACAAGCAGGTAAGAACATTGTGAACAGATCTTCAGCAGATCACTTTCCAAATAGGCTGCAGCCTATTTCAATAGGATTGAAATCTCAGTGGGATTTGTCAAACAGATCTGGAGCATGCGCTCAACTGCCTGCAAAGAGAAGACCCCAGTCTGAAAGTCAGAACAGACCTTGATTCTGGACAGGTAAATTAGTCATTTACAAAGTATTTCATTTTTGAAAGTGTTTTGTCTACTAGATGTTGCATTCTGTGTATTAGTGCTTGCATAGGCATGTACATATTTACATATTAAGTACGTATTTACTTGTTCAAACAAGCTTAGTGCTTAGAAAAAATGTCTTGCACAAATATTACATTGTGATACGTAACTGATCCTGCACCATTTGTGCTGCGGACATCAGATACCCTTGAATCTTGTGTTGAGGAGAGGAGTGCGTGTGTTCTACAATGTATTTTTCACTTATTCATGCACAGACAATACTGTGTGGCATGGGAGAGCTGCACATTGAGATCATCCATGACCGTATTAAGAGAGAGTTCAATATCGAAACTCACCTAGGACCCTTGCAGGTGGCCTACAGAGAGACCATCCTCCAATCAGCAGCTGCCACAGGTGAGGCTAGTGCAAACTCTCCCCTCGTGTTTTATATGTATGTGAAAATCATCTTACTTTGTGATGAAACATCAGAACTATTTCCCAATGTCATCTGTTTTGTTTGTCTGCTTTATTGTTTTATGGTCCAGTGCGACTTTTAGTTACAATAGACTTTGTCCATGGTATAAAAATAAAAAAGGGCATAAAACAATAAAATGAAAAAGAAACATATATGACTAATCACATGCCCTGATTTAGTGTAGGTGTAGGATGTTTAAATGTTTTTATTTTTATATAAAATTAAAATATGAAGAAATGCTAAGAAACGAACATGCCTATAGTTCTATACAGAACAAACTTTAATGGTAAAATGGTTTATACTATCAAATAATACAGTATTTATTTGGAGTAGATAAGTATTAGTAAATTTCAGTATGATTTGTATGATAATTTCAGACACATTAGATCGTACTCTTGGAGACAAGAGGCATGTTGTTACTGTGGAGCTCGCCGTCCATGCTCTGATGGAGTCTAGCACTTCCTGTGATGTGACTTTTGAGGAGGAAGTAAAAACTCAGCTTTCTGCTGGTGTCAGAGAAGCTGTGGAAAATGGAGTTGAGAGCGCATACCTCCAAGGTAACAGAAATGGATGCTTAAAAGCTTTTATGCCTGAATCATTCATCACATCTATATCTTCCTGGTACAGTATTGCAGTCTATAAATCTGGAGATGGTACAGTTGAGTAATATATCATACCAGAGTCGAGGAGTGAGGTTGGTAGCATCCACATACTCTCCCCAAAGACAAGCCTCTCCACCAATCACCAGCTTCTTCTGTGCATCTGTGCCTGTGGTAAATTATCAATCACAAGTTATAAACAACAGCAAAAAAAAAAACAATACAACATTGTACAAAAAGCTGTCCCTCAAAGTAAAGAGTTGATCCTGTTTGAGTCTGATCTGTGTGCCAAACACTCCTATATCAAACATCTAAATACCTGCAGACAAAGCAAACCATTTAAACTGGGTCGTGACTGAATAGACTCATAACTGTAAATCTGTCCAAAGTGCCATGGTCACATGACAAGCATGTTTGTTTGCATATCCAAATGAAAATGTGTTCCTAACAATGCCATTGCTATGACAGAGCTTTGGACTGGAAAAAAAAAACTGATCCTCATTGATTTAAGGATATGAGAATATCTGGCGTAAATGACTGCTTCAAAGGCAACATGTTTAAATGACAAAGGTGGCATGTGATTGTACAGTGTAGCTGACCTTCAAAACCTAAAACCATTTGTACCAACCTTGGTTTACAGTAAACAAGACAATTAACCAGATTCATCCAATAACAGACTTCTCAACTCTTGTGTTCAAGAGAGGTCAACTCCAACATAGGTCAGAAAATCATGTATTGTATAATCAGTGCTGTTTAAAGTTACTTAACAGTCAGTTTTTTACTGTACACCTTGAGATGTTGTACAAATTTAGGAGAAGCACAAGTCAACCAGAAACAGAGGCCCACAGACTTTCTCTGCGAATGACACACACACCAGTGAAATTTTGGGGGTCGGCTTTGTAAATGTTCACCCAGTCTTGGCCGTAGCTGATGCGGTTGAGGTACCAGGGTGTGGAGAGCAGAGCATTGAAACCAGCCGCTGTTACCTTCGCCATCTCATCCTGGTACTGCGGCCTTTCTTTCCACACATGGATCTGTGTGTCGGCTTTCAGCTACATGTGTACACATACAGACGCATGTATAACACAAACGAACACGTCAACGTGGATAAATCCCTCTGGACTCCATTTAAGGTCTCTGTGAGGCTTTTCATGCTTAATTCACATTTACTTTGTCAAAGATACCAAGATTGCACATTTATGCATCTAGTCGCTAGTAGTCATGAAAGAACTGAACATGGTTAATTTTAAAGTGACAAAAAATATGGATGTACAATATTTGGCATAAAATCAGCTGTAAAAAAAAATTGGCTATCAATATTGGCCCATCCAAATATAATGCAATCGATATTCATAATAAGTTACGTTATAAATAATAGGTAAAAAATTTCAACACTACATCAAAAATTGTAATATGTTAGATCTTGAATGTAGTCCAGAGAAATATATCCATCCAGTGTCATATTTTCCTGGAAGGTCAGATGCTTAGTGACAAAAAAAAAATTGGCTATCAATATTGGCCCATCCAAATATAATGCAATCGATATTCATAATAAGTTACGTTATAAATAATAGGTAAAAAATTTCAACACTACATCAAAAATTGTAATATGTTAGATCTTGAATGTAGTCCAGAGAAATATATCCATCCAGTGTCATATTTTCCTGGAAGGTCAGATGCTTAGTGACTCAGTCAACATGTCTTTCTCATTAGATCATTAGTTAATGGCCTTTAAACTTGACAACAGTTAACTATTATTCTAGACAGTAACATCTACGAAGAACGAGGTAGAAATTTTTACTTTTTAGTAGTCGTATTAATTTAACAAGACTGAAGCAAGATGGAGGAGGAATTATGGCAAACGCATACTCTACCGTTCAGAAGTTTGGGGTCACTAAGATTTTTTTAAGGTCAAAAGTGACCGTAAAGATATTTATGTTGCCAAAAAAAAAGTAAATGCTATGTATTTTTGATCAAATAAACAGCCTTGGAGAGACTTATTGCAAGATCATTTTTTAAAACTCTTACCAGATCCAAACTTTTGAACGGTAGTGTATTTAGAGTGATACATGATGGAATGCGAGCTTTCCATAGCATTCAGGAACATGTGGTTTCAGCGTCTAAAACAACTGACCTCGAGATGTGGCAGGAGCTCAGAGTTGATCAGGAGTGCTCAAACACTCTGACATTACGTGGACATGACAACGTGCAAGTGACGAGCAAAACCAAGAGCCTGAGCCAGACTGACCGGATCACAACTATACACTACAATAATGCAGAAATTACAGGAAATTCTATATAATTAATATATGGTCGATGACGAGCGTATTTGTCCTCAATTAAAATGCAAGTGTTTCTCAGTGAACCAGCTCTACGCAGACCAAAGCCTCAACCCCCAAGCTTGTTTGTGATTCAACACCATGTCAACTTGTCCATGGCTATTTTCAGGGCAAGAAACAGGTTAAAATGTAATTAAAGGTATAGTGATTGAAAAGGTTACTAATAACAATATTTAATTAAAACTGAATCTGAACTGACTTTCTCAACCCTAAGTTGCCAACATGGCATGTCAAAACCATCACACATAATGTAATGGTCAATACATGAGTAAACACTCAATAACTAGAGTTTCTACGTTTGAAACCACTAGATTAGTAAACTAGTGGTGCTCAAATAAACAGTTAAATAAAAAGTTGGACTGCAGAAACTGACCAGGGAAATTGAGTGGCTCAACTTTGTAGTAGCGTTGCCAGTCCTGTCCATAGCTAATGTAGTCCAGGTACCAAGGGGCAGAAAGAATGGTTGTAAATCCTGCCCTAGTCACATTCTGTAGCTCCTCCTCCATCTTGTTCCCCATCCACACCTCCACCACAGTGTCATCCTTCAGCTGGAACATGCATAAAGCACATTATGTGCCCTAATCAATGTTTGTTTGTTTTTGGGGCTGTTATATTGTTACGGGCAGTCATACATCTACATGCAAGCACAGTTAAAAACAGCAATTTAGTGGCATGTTAGCAGTGGCTTGTGAAAAGGCGAGCATGCAAGTCAAGCTATTTGTGATTAAGAAGGTTAAAGAAAAGTAGATTAGGCTTTGATTTGAAGTCACAAAGCATTTTGGACCTGCAAGAATGTGTCTTAATTTGTTTATAAAATGTGGTTAAAGTAACGAAGACTGTGATATAACATTTATGGATTTACATTACTTCCCAACAGGACGAGCCCTTCAGCACAGAAGAGATGAGCCTTACCTTCACCCCATTATCAAACACTTCCTGCCACACCATGTAACCTTTCTTGGTAGCAGCCACAATATCAAGTAATCTGTTTTCCAAATATGAATAATACATAATGTTAGAATGTGTTTTGATTCATATTTTCATTTACATTCTTCTGAGAAATAAAAAAACGTCATAATAATCTGTAATTTAGACTACAAGACCACAATAAATGTATTACATTTACATTTAGCAGACGCTTTTATCCCGCCTGGACAGAACAAGAGCTTGAACAAGGAGTTGTGTTGCATGCTCTGATGTTGTATAAAGCAAATCTGCAGGACCGGGCAGTTTTAGCAATGTGGTCTGAGAAATTCATCAATCATAACTCCAAGGTTTCTAGCTGTTTTTGAAGGAGTTATGGTTGATGAGCCTAACTGGATGGTGAAATTTTGATAAAGTGATGGGTTTGTTGAAACCACAAGCAGTTCTGTCTTAGCCAGGTTGAGTTGAAGGTGATGGTCCGTCATCCAACAGGAACTGTATTCCTGACTATAGTGAAGCTCTTACCTTTGAATGTAGAAAGACTCCAGTTTGCTGTAGTCTGTGCCAAAGCCCTGCTGCACCATAAACTTCTGAATATCAGGATTAGACTTCCTACAGAAACAATAAATGGAATGCAAGCATGGCCTTTAACAGTAACATGTCTATGAACACAAAGTAAAGCAAATAGAAAAAGAGAAACAATACATGCCCTTACATATTAGGCTATGTCATTTTCGGTTAGAAACAAACTGTTTCTGTATAACACTCAAGGTACTGTGTGACAGTTACGGTTATTATTTCTTTTAATCAAAGAATTTAATAAAAGAAAATAATTTTATATAAGGTAAGATTATTGGTATTACATTATTCAGATAAACAATGTAGTTTAATAATTGACGATTGAGTAGGAAGCTCCTTTTTTCTTACCAGCAACTGAAGTCAACCTCGTCTCCCCCCAGGTGAATGTAGGCATCAGGGAAGACAGTGCTAATCTCTTTAAAAAACTGTGTCATGAAGTCATAAGAGGAGTTTAAGATGGGGTTCACTGGCCCAAATGTTCCTGAAGGACTAGAGCCACTGTAACAAGGTGTTAGCAGATCCTTTATGCCTAAGGGAAAGAGCGACAGAGAGAGAAAACGTGTTGTCATATTAATCAGTAAGTGCAGTTTAAATGTGAACTACTGAAATCAACACAACATGACTTAAGGCTGGAATACACTATATGACTTTTGGATTGTCATGCATCTCCTAGCAATAAGGCATGTTTCTTTGTGAGTTAGCACTGTGTTTGTTTCGACTTAAAAGTCATTTCTTTCTGTTCACATTTCAATAGTTCTGCAGTGTTATTCCAGCCCTAAACATGATTAAGCAAAACAATCTGTGAAAAGCTCATGTATCAAGTCCACCAACTTACCATGGCCCCATGACTGTGTGTGTCCTGGGGTGTCAAACTCAGGGATGACTCGGATCCCCCTCATGCGGGCAAACTCGATGACCATCTTCACGTCAGACGGAGTGTACACATGTGTGAATGGGTGATAGGCTCCCTGTTAATCACAAAAAAATAGGGAAAACATAATCAATACACAAAGATTAACACTTTCCCAGTTAGATTTCAGCAGTGGCAGTTGAGTTCTACAACCTAAATCTTTTGATTAGAGGTGAAATTTCTACACTAAAGGAAATGACACTGGAACTCATCATTTTGAGGTAAATCTTTATCCCTTACCTTTCGCTTCCAATGCAGCAAATACAAAAAAGTATACGAGAACAGGGAACTATTTTTAAAAGCTTGGCATAAAATCTGGAATTTGTTGCAGTGTAACAACACAACAGCTTGATACGCATAGTTGTGGTCTCCTATTTACATGATGTTGGCCATCGCCCTTTAGCGATAATATAATTCTAGCATGGTAATCCACTAACAACCTGTTTGAAATCTACAATATTTCTCATGTTCTGAATAGAGATGTATTTAATCAGTGTGAGGCAGTCAAGTTTGAATCTAAAACAAAGTCAAGTACATCATATACTCACCTTCTGACTTAAGTCAGGGAAGGTACGGCTCATATAAGGAAACGACTGATCGTCCACAATGTGCCAGTGAAATACATTAAACTTGTTCATCGCCATAGCTTCCTGTGAAAATTAGACATTTTATTACTTAACGCTGTGGGATGAGAAGCATTTCAAAATGCATCAAATGGGGGAAAAAACTAACCTTGGAGGGTCCTTGCACATATTTCCACTAATATGAACATGTGACTTGCAGTTAATTCTAGGTCAAAACTTTATATCACTACTGTTCGCTAACCGCAATTTTTTCCAGACAAACCTTGTGATAAGCGTCATCTTGTCTTGTGATTACTGTCATGTATGAACATAAAAAACTTGACTTTGAGCTTTTTAGCTGACACAAGTCTAATGAGGAAACTGAGCATTAATGAAAAACTTTGTAGGTCTGTCGCAATAATCAATATATATCGACTTATCGCGCAATATATCTACATGACCTCAATAATTTTTGGTGACGCAATATATCACCCATTATATTTACTTAAAAATTAATGTCACCATGTTTTGTACATTCCACTTGCGCCTGTGTCTTTGCAGCTTCTCGTACATAATGTGGGGTAGTCATGAGGTGCTAGTTCAAATTTAAATAATGCTTCTACAAAAAAATTTTCATCTGCAGATTTGATCTTGTTTAGGGATCTGTGCCTTTGTGCATACGGACATCTGACTGCTGAGTAGTGATTGTGTTTCTCAGCAATAGTGTGCACCCTTAATTTACAGAGAAAAGAAGGTCAGGGAAAAATATGTAGATGGAAAAATCTCCATACAAGTTCTTTGTGCATTTTTCTTTTTTTCTACTTGTTACTTTGCACTTTTTGTTAGAAAATTTGTATTTACTATTTATTCAGGTTTTTTAAGGTATCTCATATTTTGATACTTAATTTCCATGATCTAAATATTCTTAAAAATTAAAAGTTTGTTGTCATTTGGAAGTGTGTAGGCCTTCTTGCAATACTATGCTGTTACATTATGATTATATATTCAGTGGTCTTTAATATGACAATAATATCGCTTAGTAGGTGTACCATAGTGCATGTGCATTTAGACAAGCCAAAATCACGGTTTGGAAAATGGATTCATGGTGTACTCGCTTATTACATAAATTTTGTTCATTTTGAACACAAAAAAAAGTTACGGACTGCAGCTTTAAGATAAAACATGTTATATGGACATGATAAATACTGCCATCTCTTCTCTTAGGGCAGGATTACACAAACCCTGGCTTTGAAACAACACTAAACATTCTTAAGTAAGGACAATGCCACTGATAGGAATGGAAATTAGATTCTATGTAATACATTAAAAACAGTAATACTGTGAAATATTGTTGTCATTTAAAATAACTATTTTCTATTTTAGTATATTTTCAAATGTATTTTCCTGTGATGGCAAAGCTGAATTTTCAGCAGGCATTACTCCAGTCTTGTCCAGTGCCACATGATCCTTTAGAAATCATTCTAATATGAAAAAGCAGCGCTGTTTTATCATACTAGATACATTTGAAAGTTCTGTTATAATGCTACTCTATGCGGTCGTCACCAGTCTATTAAAACGCACAACGTATTAAAGCGTCTTTGGTTTTTCCATGTTTTCTACAAAACAAAAAATCAAGGGGTTATGACGTCATTGGCAGGCGACACTATGGACACGGTCCGTGTCATTAGTTAAAATTGCTTATTTCTCTGTATTTAAACATTCTTCTAAACATTTGGGATAATGTAAGTACATTAGTCAGCAAAATATATAACACTGTTCTAGTGGTTTTTGGATATTTTAATAAAAATATATTGTGCCTTTAAAATGTTTTGCTTGGTCTTGGTCGGCGAAGAAAGAAGGGCACATTGCAACACCAAGGTGAGGAAAATATCTGAATTTTAATATTTAAGTGAGCTGTTGATGTTCCTTTTTAAGAATTATGAGAAAAGTAACACTTACACTGTCAATTTCATCAAACCTACCCAGAGCTGGGCTGCCCAAAAGCATTGTAAGCATAAGTAGATCATATAGAACTTTGCTGCCAATGGTTTCTACAGCTAAATATGATTTTGAGAAACTCAGCCCAGTTACAGAGCTACTAACGTGTGTGTGTGTGTGTGTGTGTGTGTGTGTGTATACACTGGTGTTCACTACATTATGGGGACCCACAAGTATAGTAATGAAGAAACAAGCTTATAAATAATACAGAATGAAGTGTTTTCAAACATAAAAATACAGAACGTTTTGTGTGAGAGGTAGGTTTAGGGTAAGGGGATAGAAAATACAGTATACAGTATAAAAACCATTTATCGGCCAACATATCGGTTATCGGCTTTCAAAAATAAAGAATAATCGGTTATCGGTATCGGCCAAAATGTTCATATCGGTGCATCCCTAGTTTACATTTGCAAACATTAATTTTGCCATTAACTGAAATAATCCAATGAGATTTTTGTATGCAGACGGAGCCCGACAACAGAGGTATGGGCCACATATATTTTATAGCTCCACAGATTTAGAAAAGAAACATACCAGGCCACAGGAGCCACATACTTAAGTCTACCACATTACTACCCAAGAACAATCGTGACATTTTTCATTCGAAAGTTAGAAATTGAAATCACCTACATACGTCAAGGGCATTTACAGGTATGATGCAGACAACGCAAATTCGCCTTTTGTTCCGCAGGGGGCGCTATTGTTCCGTGAATTTAAATTCAAAACTAGCTCTGAACCTTCTCACCAGTGTGTGCATGGTAGTGCATCTCACAGACTGAGGAATAAAGTTTAGGCTGGATGCACAATTTATAGAATATATGATTTAAATGACTATCACTTGAAAAACAGCCTTGCCATTAGAGTTGCTGTTCAAGTAGGATGACTCTTAAGCAGCACTTCCTAAAGGGTCAGTTATATGCGAAGTTTACAGTAATGTATACAGAGACTTTGAATACATTAATACACACAAACCCCTTGGTGATATGCAGCCTAGTAAAATTCCTTTATTATTATATTAATGAGCCCGACCTCCACAATCTCCTTATCTCTGCACGCCAGTTCATCGGTCTATCTCCTCCCACATCCTACTAAAGAGCTGCAGCGCTCCGCCTCTCTTTCTTCGTCCTCTAAAAGCTGTTCACACCCGTCAGCTGTTCACTATCGAGACCTGCACACACACGCGGTGGCGGAGCTGCTGTGTGATGATACGAGCGAATGTAGTTGTGCACCGTAGTCACAAAGATAGAGGAACTCGAGCAGTTTTCTGTGTAACTCAGCAACAATAGACCAAACTGCATTTCTAGGCTGGTTGCTTACGTTAAAAGCAAGTGGATTCAATTACTCTTCATTTGTTTATTTTGTGGTTTATCCACGCGACTTCGGACGCTTTGCCAGAGCGCCGCCAGTATTGAGACTCTGCACGCGTCTCGTTGTGGCATGTTTGTGGGCCAAAGCAGACGGAACTGAAGTCCTCATTGCTCCTGAACAGGTAATATATATCTTTAGTTACACTAGGTTGTTTCTAGGACATATTTCATAGGACATTTCGCTATTAAAGCATGTGAAAATATTTGAAATATTAAGAAAATATGTACATTTAAAGCATTAAATAATTATTCTAGTTGTCATTTATTTTAAAATTATATTATCAAAATAGTGGTGTGTGCAAGTGATGTCGGTGCACCTGTGACATTGTCATGAGAATGTTGATCTGTCATTCAAAATGTGTTTTCTGTAACAAGAAATAAATGGTGTTTTAAAAGCACTTTTTAATAGAGCCTACTTATAAGATATATGTCATTACACTCTTTATTGTAAACTATTAACTGACTGTTTATGATTTATCATAAACATATCATTCACATCACATTGCTATTCTCCAGTGCTGCTGCAAAATAATTAATAGCCAATGTCAGCACAGGGTTTCTGGCTCTTGTACTTCACAGCTGTGTCCAATATAAATGGATTATTGGACTGTATCAGGTGCGATACATCAACATTGCTTGTGTGTCCTTAATGTATTTAGCCAAGTTCGGAACTACATTTTGCCTCTGCACAACATTAGTGGAAACACAATTAAATTCTCCCCGGAGGGATGTTGACAGCCGGCAGGGACTGGGGGCGTGTATCGGTTACATGGAAATTCAGGCTGATTGGATTTGAATGTGCACCATATAGGCGACCATATGGCAGCCGGTGACATTGACACACTTAGTGTTGACTCTGTGCCTGGTTCTCTACTCACTGTTTTCCACAGTGAATTTTCAGGCAGGGGTGTTTACTTCTGAAGGTTTTTTCCCCTTTCAGTTTCCCCCTTCTTATCCATCTGCCTTTGAACGCCTGGTAATGATTAGACTCCCTTGCATTTGTTCACATTCCAGTCGGCTAGACATCAGAGAGGCTTCCAGTGGGTTTTTATGTTGTGTTTGCAGAATTACATCATCTTCTCTGCCTTCATGTTGAGGTTTGGCATGCTCTTTGTGTATTGTGCTGATACCAATCATATCACTGTTCAAAACAATGTCAGTCAACTCCTAGAACGGACAACATAGGCTATTCAAGCCACAGCAACATGCCAGTTGTCACTAGGGTACACAGGCTATTAAAATATTTTGTCTTTCTAAAAAAAAATTTTTAATTGTCTAAAAAGGTTAGCACACATTCCCTGTAGAAAAAGTTATTTGTGATCAGTTTTTATTCTTGCATCTTTTGTAAACCGAACAACTTCTCTTCTTTTTTTTTTTTTTTTTTCAGGATTCAATGAAAATGTCGGTCTGCGTCCACGAGAACCGCAAGTCTCGTGCCAGCACGGCCTCTATGAACATCTACCTGTTCCACAAGTCCTCGTATGCCGACAGCGTGCTAATGCACCTGAATGCTCTTCGGCAGCAGAGACTCTTCACCGATGTTCTGCTCCATGCAGGAAACCGCTCTTTCCCGTGCCATAGGGCTGTGCTGGCCGCCTGCAGCCGCTACTTTGAAGCCATGTTCAGCGGAGGGCTGAGAGAGAGTCAGGACAGTGAAGTGGACTTCAGAGAATCTATTCATCCAGAGGTACTATGGAAGTGCTTGAATTTGTAGAGTAGTCAAAGAGTGTCCATTGTAGGACAAAACAAAAACTTCAAAATACCTTCTTTTGTGTTAAATAATGGTTTGAAATGACATGAGGGTGAGTAGATGATGACAGAAATCAATTTTGTCATTGTAAGCTACTCTGATTTAATGTACAACTTATTATAAATTGAAGAGCACTAAAAACTCGGTAGCTCTGTGTTTGAACATCAGGCTTTTGCAAATTAAGTGTAATGGTTTTCAAGTAACTTGTATTACAGTTTGACTGCAAAAAGTTTTGTCAATTTATTTAGGTTAAACTTGCATCTACTCTGCGTTGTCTAGGTATTGGAGCTCCTTCTGGACTATGCCTATTCGTCAAGAGTGATAATAAATGAGGAAAACGCGGAGTCTCTCCTTGAGGCCGGTGACATGCTGGAGTTTCAGGACATCCGTGATGCTTGTGCCGAGTTCCTGGAGAAGAACCTTCACCCATCCAACTGCCTGGGCATGCTGCTTCTCTCAGATGCTCACCAGTGCACCCAGCTCTTCCAGCTGTCCTGGAGCATGTGCCTCAGTAACTTCCCTGCTATCTGCAAGACAGAAGAGTTTCTCCAGCTGCCTAAGGACATGCTGGTCCAACTGCTGGCACACGAAGAGCTCGAAACCGAGGATGAGCGTCTGGTCTACGAGTCGGCGCTTAACTGGGTGAACTACGATCTTGAGAGGAGGCACTGTCTTCTTCCGGAGCTGCTCCGTACTGTGCGTCTGGCTCTCCTGCCTGCCATCTTCCTCATGGAGAATGTGTCTACGGAAGAGCTCATCATCGCCCAGGCTAAAAGCAAAGAGCTGGTGGACGAGGCCATCCGCTGCAAACTGCGCATCTTGCAAAACGACGGCGTCGTCAATAGTCCTTGCGCCCGGCCCCGCAAGACCAGCCATGCCCTTTTCCTGTTGGGTGGCCCCACATTCATGTGCGACAAGCTCTACCTGGTGGACCAGAAGGCCAAAGAGATCATTCCAAAGGCAGACATCCCCAGTCCACGCAAGGAGTTCAGTGCCTGTGCCATTGGATGCAAAGTGTATGTGACTGGGGGCCGGGGCTCAGAGAACGGTGTGTCTAAAGACGTTTGGGTGTATGACACATTACATGAAGAATGGTCCAAAGCAGCTCCGATGCTGATAGCTCGTTTCGGTCACGGTTCCGCTGAGTTACGCCACTGCCTGTACGTCGTTGGAGGTCACACAGCTGCCACTGGCTGTCTGCCTGCATCACCATCTGTGTCCTTGAAGCAGGTAGAGCAGTTTGACCCAGTTGCTAATAAGTGGAGCATGGTGGCACCACTGCGAGAAGGAGTTAGCAATGCTGCTGTCGTCAGCGTTAAGCTGAAGTTATTCGCCTTCGGTGGGACGAGTGTGGCCCACGACAAGCTGCCTAAAGTTCAGTGCTACGATCCCTCAGAAAATCGCTGGGCGGTCCCGGCATCCTGTCCACAGCCGTGGCGCTACACTGCAGCTGCTGTTCTCGGCAACCAGATCTTTGTAATGGGAGGCGACACCGAATTCTCTGCTTGCTCTGCTTACAAATTCAGCAGTGAGACTTATCAGTGGACTAAAGTTGGAGATGTTACGGCAAAACGAATGAGCTGCCAAGCGGTGGCCTCTGGAAACAAACTTTATGTGGTGGGTGGCTACTTCGGTACACAGCGCTGCAAAACCCTGGACTGTTATGACCCCACGCTGGATGCCTGGAACAGCATCACTACCGTACCATATTCCTTAATCCCCACTGCCTTCGTCAGCACCTGGAAACACCTCCCAGCCTGAAGCACGCCTGTTCTCCCCTGTGTGACCCTACTGTTCCTACGAGGTAGGTCATGCAGTCTAAAAAAAAGAATTACTAGGCTTAGAATGCATGTTACTTTTTTTGTCCAATTACAGAAAAGGATGAAATAAATAGTAGTACCATATCAGTAATCTAATGTTACTAGAGTATTTAATCTACAGTATTTATCTTAAAAGTTAATATTTTAAAAGTAATAATTTAAAAACAATGTACAATGTAATTTATCAAATGTCAAAATCTAGTCCGGGCATCCCATTTTCATACTGTACATAGGGTTGGGTGATGTCTACAAAATTGGCATCGGACGATGTCTACAGTGAAACATCGCGATGGACGATGACATCGGGGGGAGGGGGGAGTTAGGGGGTATGCCCGAAGCATGAATCCCTATTCAGAAAGGCACTGAAAACAAATAAGGATTGCTAACGATTGCCTGTTAAATTACAGTAGCTACATAAAATTTCACTTTCTGTTTATTTCACCACATAAACGGAGTAAGGAGAGACTGAGGACGATGGCGAATGATTTGCAAAATGTGTGGTAAGTACTGCCGCTAACAGAGTACCTGTGATCTCGAATCTCGAAAGTGAAACTAAAAAGCAATCGTGCATTCAAAAACAGTTTCAATGCCAAGCATAATAGCGGCTCCCTGATGCCCGCAATTTATATACAGTATAGTTGCCCAATGATATACAGGTAACTGCGAGACAAAATATTGAAATATATTTTCCTCCCATCTCGTATTTATTCCCTTTAGGGGTTCCGTGTGAACACGGTATTGGGATGCGGTGGGTGGGGGAATCACGATGCTGGCTCAACATCGTGAAGTCTTATCAGCCATCGGTGCTGTTTAAATTTATTTAAAATGAAATGGCCCTTCAAATAATAAATAACGATTTATTTCAAATCTATTTAGATAAAATAGTATAGAAATTTTTATATGTTCTATTTATCAGTTATCATTTATCAGACTTGACATAAAATTATTGGCTTATCATTGGCAAGAATTTCTAGATTCCTGTCTGTATATTTGGGCATTTTATGTATTACTATGATCAGTCTCCGTTTCATTTCATGGTGGACATTCATCCAGAAAATCACATTGTTTACATTCTGTCTACTAGTGGTTGTATGAGCTTATCTTTGCATGGTCAAAGTAGTTTGTAAGGACTGAAATAGGTTTTAAGACAATTTTTATTTTGAACGCGAGGGAATTTCGCAGCCCTTGTTAGTACATTTTGTGAACCTGTTTAGACAATATTTGCTAATTGTTCATTTTCCCAGAACTCTTAACTCTTAATTATAAAATATTCCAGTGTTGTGGTTGCCATACACAGTACCCTCTTTGAACGTATACTGACACGTTGAAACATTTTACATGGCTTTCTGTGTGTTCATATGCATACTGCATTTGGATATAGAGGTTATTTATCCCTCATGATCTGCCTCATGCATACATTGACAAAGAACCTTATTCAAATCAATGGCAAATTGAGTATTGACAGAACAATTATATTGTCTTAGGAAGCAGAGAGGAAAGAAACGGCAAGGCAGCATGCTATGAATATCAACCAGGTCAACACAGCTCATGTGCAAAATCAGATATCTTTTTTTTTTTCAATCTATCAGTTACCCAGTGCTTTTTTGTGTTTTTTCTCGTTCCTTGACTGGTAGTATTTTTGCTGTTTTCCTTCTTTGTTTCTGTGAGGAGATTCTTCTGTTGTATATAGGTGTACTAATCTCAGGGTTTCGCTTTAATCGA